TCTCAGATTCCATGACACGTCGTCGTCTGGATTCAGTCAACAAATGGCCTTCACCGCTTGCTACCCCTGCCCTAAGATCGTCCACACAGCCCAACAAGACTGATACCTTTGCCAACCACAGCGACTATCTCGATCTTTCTGGTACACTGTTTCTTCCCGTCGATAATTTGAAATTCAATCTCATTCATTACAGATATACCGGAAATCATAAATCCCCTGAACTCTCCTGAAATACATCGGCATCATCTCCATGATTACGAAAGATTGCGATTTCGTGGTATAGACTCCATTTTTAGAGTTTCTTATACTAACGCTCACTACGATGTGATAAAGACGTGAGTATAACCATACGTCTGTCTTTATTTCCTTTAATTTGACTTAGTTTTAGTTATCCATGCGCCTTCGTTGTGCCGTCGTCCGTTGGTGACGATGCTTTCTTGAAAATTGCCAAAGGTTTCAAACATGGCCGCTTTCCCGTAATCACTTGGACAAGTGAAAATGGAGCATTGTTGATTCGCGGAAGTGGTCTGACACAAAGTAATGTTGTGCAGAAGTTCAAGAAGGTACCTGTCTTCAAACTCTGAAAAATGGTTTCTCACTAAATAATATGCAGGCGAATATTCTACATGGAAGCGAATCAGTGTCAACTCTAGGCGGTAGTCGAATGACTCTGGTCTCAAAGGATAGTGGAGATGCTGGTCCGCTACACAGTGTGGAATATCAGGTGTTGTTGCTTAGACCTAATTATCAAGGCTTAACCTATAGTTTTCCTTTCTTTTACTCCTTCCATGTCAAGACGGCTAAATAGTTGTTGCCTGAACGTTCGCAATTCTAATATAGGAACACTACTTGGCGCGACTAGCACAAGTATCACCTTCTGGAAGCGGCGATCTGGGAGGTACAACTGGAAGTCTAGCTAGCTTGCTTTCTGTTGATAGCCTTTTGACAGCTGATGGTATGTTTTGTCTTCTGTATCAAAGAATGTTTCACGAAACTCTCTTTGTCTTAAAGGGATGTCATCGGTTGCGACTGGAACTCCTGATGCTCGTCGGCGTAATCAAGGCTCAGATTTGGCTAGGCATTATGCAACTTCCATCCGTAGTAGTGGAGGAAAACCTGGATCCAGAGGTTGTTTAGTTGGTGTTCTTTACCTGATCCAAACAATCGGTTTAGATTTAGGCTCTATGATGAATCCGAACATCCCTTGGACCATAGCTTCTTCGTACGGAGAACGACAATCGCAAAAGACATTACAATTTGCAATCGGGAGTCTAACGCGAAAGAATCTCTACATTCTTGTTGAGAAGGGTCATTCGAAGGCGGGTTACAAATGATATGAGGCTTCCAGTTCAGCCTCTTTTTCCTCAGTTCATAATTGATTTCTAGATCTTCCGTGGCGATAAAAATGTGGAATTTGTCCCGATCAGTTTCCCCACTACTCATCAGATGAAAGTATCATTCAAAAAACTACTCAGAGTCATGCGACCCAGTATTCCGTTTATGGATTCGTCATCGTCCACGTTTTACCGTTCTTTAGAAGAGTCGGAGTGGTTGCAAATGGTAAGATGGTTTCTTAAGAGGATTTTTGTTTTGTTTTAATGAATATTTTTGAGATATCAAACCTCTTGTCACTCTCTACCTCAATTGCAAGCATCGTTAACATGCAGAATTCATCGGTTGGTTCCTTGTTTATATAGCTCACTTATGATCTTATAAGATTTTCTCAGTTTTCTTCATTTACTTGGAATACAAGTATTCTTAACAGGTTGCTTTGTGCATCGAAGAGGGATGGGATGCTACATGTCAGCTGATGTCACTTGCTGAACTAATGCTGGATCCTTTCTATCGAACCATAGAAGGTTTTCAAGTGAGTGTTCTGCGAGTTATGTTTTGGAGGGTTTTTATTTTTTGTTTAAGATACTTATTGAAAAAGAGTGGTTAGCGTTCGGTCATCGCTTCTCGCATCGTGCGAATCACACTATTTCTTCTCAAAATAGCGGGATCACTCCCGTTTTTCTTGTGTTTCTGGATGCAGTCCATCAGGTTTGAGCCATGTTTCTTCAAAACATAATTTGAAGAATCGTCACGTTTAGTTACTGGAACAGTTTCCTGGCGCATTTGAAATCAACGACTTCTACCTCCGGTTTTTGGCTTACCATAGCCAGTCAGCTTTCTTTCGCACTTTTCTTTTGGATTGTGAGTCTGAGCGAGTACACCTAGAACAATTGGTCCCAGAGACTGGCGAAGGGCACCGAGGATGTATTTGGCTTTACATAAAAGTGAGAAGCTCGTTTTTTTTGCATATTAAAATATATTTG